TAGATTTTATATTATAGACCTTTATATTGAAGTTTTTAAATTGTCCTACCTTTCTCCCCCAAACTTTTGATATGCAATCAAGAAAACAAAGAGGTAAAGTACCATTTTCTGTTTGTATTTACTTACAATTGATTGTGATTTTATGGAAAAATTAAAAGAATTTCACTGCATGTTTTTAGAAAGACGAAACAGAAGGAGAGACAGAATACAAATTTGAATGGCAGAAGGGAGCTCCACGTGAAAAGTAAGGATTGGTTTGCTTTTAAGATAAAAAGATACACCATTAAATTTATCTGCAGTCTCATCTTAGGTTGCTGCCTTCATTAAAGAAAGTTAAGAATATTGAAAAGCTAAAAAAAAAAAAGAATACTGAAAAGGTGTTTTTATTGACTATATAATTTTTCATTTTTTTTAAATCACATCAGACTAGACACTTATTTACTGTTGTTTGGAAATAGTAAATAGATTTTACAGTTCTATATATATTTATTGTAGGAGTAGTACATTTCCTAATGTTCTTAGAATTATAAAATGTTTTTCAGAGTAAATGCTGTATAATTTATTAAATTAGTAATATTGTATCTGGGGGCTGGGGATTTAGCTCAGTGGTTTCGCCGCCTGCTGCGCAAGCACAAGGACCTGAGTTTGATCCCCGGTACCAAAAATAATAATAATAATAATAATAATAATAATAATAATAATATTAATATTGTATCTGTACATTTTCTCTACTTAATAGATATGCCAAAGATGATATGAATATCAGAGATCAGCCCTTTGGTATTCAGGCAAGTGACAGACACATACTTAATTCTTTGAGAATAATTTTTATTTGGTAAATATTTCTTCATACTGTTATCTGAAAGATGTTTAAGATAAAAACAGACAATATGGTTTATATTTGTATCGGATAATTTTAAGAATAAAAAACATTAAATCCAGTAGTCTGACAAAAGATGAGAATCAAACATTTTTTTTGAGAATCAAACTTTTGTAGTAAAGATTTATATTGGTCTCTAGTTTTCAAAGGATTTAGAGAATTAGTTCAGGGTCAAGAAAAGATTAAAACTATTGTATGTTTAGAAAAAGGACAACCTGTCACAAGAGGGCTAAATCCTCATGAAGAAGGTGTTACTGGGACATTGCCTTGCTTACTTATTTATGTATTATCTCTGGCTGCTTTCATACTACAACAGAGTTGAGTAGCTGCGACGGACATGAGCATCTGTCCTGAAAAGCCTAAAATATTTACTATCTGGACATTTATAGAAAAAGTTTACCAGCCTTTGGTTTAGAAATTTGAAACTGTAAAGATTAACTTATGAAAATTAGGGAATACTTCTTTTTTTGATATTTTACCATTGCTTTTTGGATCACACTGTTACATTGCCACCAAGTAAGAGACAGAAAGAAATAGGATTCAGCTTAGCTTTTAGACAGAATTTATAGGAAAAGATTTTAGTGTTTTTATTTAGTTATCAAATATAGAATCTCTATCCCTGAAGATGGTTTGAAACTATGACTAATTTTAACTTAAGTCCTGCCCTGCAAGACATACGGAATTGAACATTGGTTATATTTTTAGTATTTTAGTAACCAAAAGAATGTTCGCTTTTTCTCAGGTTCGAAATGTGAGGTGCATTAAGTGTCATAAATGGGGTCATGTCAACACAGATCGAGAGTGTCCTTTGTTTGGTCTTTCTGGAATCAACGCAAGTTCAGTTCCCACTGATGGCTCAGGTAGGCACTGGACATGATTTATGGGTTTTAGAATTTATACAAACAAGGAAAGATAAAATAACATTTTTCTTTAATCTCTCTGGATATCGTTTTGTTTTGGGGTTTTGGTTTTTTTTGGTACCAGGAGTGGAACTTGGGACCTTGCACTTGTGAAGCAGCCGCCAGAACCACTGAGCTAAATCCCTGGCCCCCTGGGTTTTGTTTTTTTTTTAACAAGGCACATTTCTAGAATATGATCAATAGGAAACTATGTGTTAAATTTGTAATGCTATGAAATAGAATTAAATTTTTCCAAAGACCCTGTGATCTTGATCTCAAAAGTAATATATGTTAAATAAAAGTTATCAGGTTAATATCCTTAAATTAGAAAGGGAAGAAATAGTTAATTCTGATATTTAGATTCTGCAGAATTTAGAAATAGGCTGGACTTAGCTGGGTATGGTGGTGCATGCCTGGAATTATAGTGCTTTGGGAGTCTCAGGCAAGAGAGCACAAGTTGAGCCCGGCCTGGATATAATATTTTGATATTAAATTTATTTTCAGAATAATTAGAACAGCTAAAGAAAGCAAAGAGTAGGCCAGGTATGGTGCTGCATGTTTGTAATCCCAGCACTCAGGAGACTGGGGCAATAAGATCACAAGTTCAAGGCCAGCCTGCCTCAAAAAGCAAGATCTCATCTCAAAAGAGGGAAGAAAAAAGGCAAAGAGTTACTGGAATGGTGTAAAGGCTGTGTTTATGATGAGTAGCTAGCAGACTGAATTAATTCTCTGCCTTAGTCTTTATAGAATAAAGTATTGGTGAAATTTCTATTCCTACCTTTTCCTTTCAAACTGACAAGATATAAATATGAGGACAAGTAATGGTAAATACACAGGCTATTTGAATTTCCTAAAGCTTATGCTGTATCTTATTTATCTAAGAATTTTTAAGGCATTAAATTGAACTCTGAAACTGTGATTGAAAAAATAAACTGATACCTTTCACCATGTATGATGTACTACATAAGATGAAAGAAGTTACTAATCTATTTCTGATGGACCGTCATAATTGAGAATGAGCAACTTAAGCTGTTTGTAAGAATAGCTGAAGATTTGGGGTGATAGTAACTTTTTCTGTTTAACTTGTATTTTACTTACTATAAAGTGAAATTTATCATATGGGAATAATCATGGCTATGTACTAATGATTTAGTCACAAAAGATTATGAGAGATACTAAATATCTGTGAAATTATGGACTAGTGATACAACATAATACTGTACTATGTAGCAATTAAAATGATATGAAGATAGCAGTGATCTGGACATTATTTCCAACGTTTAGTCAAATTTTAATACTAAGGTATAGAACAGTTACATTTGTGTTTATTTTTGTATCTGTTGGTAGATGTGTAGATAGAGAAAGATACTTTCAGAAAAAGGATTAGAAAAAGACCAAAGTATTAACAGTGGTTATGTTTGAATGGATAGGTTTCATCTTTTTGCTTATCTGTATTTCCAGCAGTGAAGGAAAATTACATTTATAAGTTTTTAAGTGAATACTAGAATTAAAAATTATACATAGAAATAAAATATTTTAAAGTGTATTGCTCAGTTAATGCCTTTGAAGTTTGACTTGAATTTAATAGTAGTACTTTACTAAACTAATAGAAACTCTTAAAGATTTCTCAAAAACAAAATCAAAACTCTACTATCTCAAATAGGAAAGCAAATAATAATGATGCTGTATTCTGAACTTGAATGCAATGAAAAATAAACTGACCAATTTCTTTATCCACTTGCTGATTCAAGCTAAAAAAAGTCTTTTCATTTAAAAAAAAATCACCTAGTGAATAATGCCTCACCAGTGAATAGAGATTATTTTTGCAATAAGGCAATTTCAGTAGATGTGGTTATCATGGGATAATCACACCCCTGGGGTACAGCCTTGTGCCTGTAATCTCCCAGGAGTGTAATTATCTCATGATAACTGCACCCCCTGGTGTTACATTATTTCTATTATGAAATTCTTAGTTTAGTATATAAAGTAACTTACTTTGATCACTGGAAACTGCAAGGTACTGTTAGAATGTTCCAGCTGTGAGGTTTACAGGGACCAGCTATAAGATTTACTTCTCCTTTACAAAGTTAAATTAGGCAATCAAAATGCTTCTTTGGGCTAAGCTGGTTCAGAATATCTTTTCTACTGATAAGATCATCTTAACTTTATGAGTTTTCATCCACTCCAGATATGTCTAAATTATCTGTAAAACTTGTGAGCTTCAGTGGTTACTGAATTTTGTAAAATGTTTTTATTCTACAATATAAGTAAATGGCTTGCCTACTTGCCTTTTATATATACTCTAAAGCCCTAATTTTTACTACTGTCTCCTAACATCTGTTAGTTGTGTTTTTAATGTACATTAAAATTAAACATCTTTCCTTAATCCATAGTGAGATACTTAAATAGAGCAAGTTTTTTAGCAGCTTCATTATGCTATAATATACATACATATTATACATACATACAGTTTACCTGTCTTAATATATTTAGAATTGTACATCTATTAACAGCCAATTTTAGAACATTTTTATTAACCCAGAAAGAAATCCCATCCCCCTTAGCCCTCACCCTTCCAGTTTCCAGCTGCAGACAACCACTAATCTACTTTCTGTCTACAGGTTTGCCTGTTCTGGACATTCCATTCTTTTATGAAATGTGTTTTCTTACTATGCTGAAATACTCAGACATGTACACACAGCAGAGTGAATCGTTTCATAATAATTTAAAATTATAGCCCACAAGGATATAAGTTTATATACAGGTACCTATAAAACAGATTAATATATCAGGTTGTCTACAAAAAAATTTAAAGCAAAACTCTATTAAACTCCTCTTTTTCCTAGATAAGACTTTGTACATCTTTTCATGTTTCAGTTCCAGTTAGCTCTCTTCAGAAAGCAAACAAGTAGCTAAATAATCAGTCTGCAGGAGAGCTAGACCTGGAGTTGCTGAAGCACTTCTGGTAGATAGTGCCAGCCCCACTTCAGCCTGCTTCTCTACCACCCATCATGCCCACCACTTAGCTCAGCCTCTACCAGCACTGAAAGTGGATGAGCCAGCCCTGAAACCCTGATACTGGTCTGCCAGAGTGCACTGGTTAGAAGCACTCAACTGATGCTGCTTTTGTAAATGTAATTTGTGATTGTGAGGCTTTTCTTCTTCAGCCTGATGATGTGATAAATTATATTAACTGATTTTCAAATTGTCAAACCAACCTTGTATGTATGAATGCAATCCTACTTGCTCGTGGGATATAATTTCTTTATATACAATGTTGTATTCAACTTGCTAATATTTCATTAAGGGTGTTTACATCTATGTACATGAGAGATTCTGGTCTATAATTTTCTTGTATTGTCTGTGTTTGGTTTTAGTACAGTATTAGAATAATGTTTCGTAGGATGAGTTAGAGAATATTCTCTCTGCTATTTTCTAGATGTTACAGACTATTAATATAATTTCTTTAAATGTTTGATAGTATTGACCATCTGGGCCTGAAGCTTTGTATTTTGAAAAGTTTTTGTTGATTGACTTTCTTTAATAGAGGCTTATTCAAATTATTTCTCTTTGTTTTGAGTTTTGGTAAATGTCTTTCAAGGAATTGGCCCATTTCATTTAAGTAAAATTCAAGGGCATAGAGTTGTGTGTTATATGTCCTTGCTGCCTGTCTGCTGTCCATAGGCTCCATAATGATGGTCGGTCTTCTGTTTATGGCATTTATGTCCTCTCTCTAATTTGTGTCCTCTCTCTTTCCTTGGTTAGCCCGGCTGGAGCTGTATCGGTTTTGCTGAGTTTTAAAGAACCAGCTTTCACTGTAGTTGATTTTTCTGTCTTATTTTTCTGTTTTTATTATTTTCTTTTTTGAACTTAATTTACTCTTCCTTTTTGCTTCCCTAATTTGAAATATTAAATAATTGGGGGGGAGGGTGTTTGTTTCCTGTGACGCTGGTGACCCAAGTCAGGGCCTCAAGCATGCTAGGCAAGCGCTTACCTCTGAGCTATACCCCCGACCCTAGAAATTGATTATAAATTTTTTCTTATGCATGAATTCAATGCTACAAATTTCTCTCAACACGTTACTTCTTTATACTACAAAGTTTAATAGATTTTTATTGTATTTTTAAATACTTATTAATATTACATGATTATGGGGTTTATTTGGGGAAGTTGGGACATGCTTTTAACATATCTTAATCAATTCCAATCTCCTTTCTTCTCTTTCTTCCCTTCTCCTGCTTATCCCCTTCCCCATCTCCCCACTATGGAAATCAGTGTGAAGATTCCCCAAAAGACTAAACATAGAAATATCATTTGCATCATAGGCATAGACCCGAAAGAATTAAGGACAGTATACTATAGTGATACATGCATACCCATGTGTACAGAAGCACAGAAGGATTTGGCGAAATGATTTCTGACACCACCCAGAGTTAGGCCATGCTTCACAGGTTAACATCCCTTCAAAAGACTGCCCTCACTTTGGACACCAGCTCCTAGCTTGGGGCTTCCCAGACACTAACCAAACTTGGTCAAACTCAAGGCTTCCCTTTACTCCCTCAAGTTTGGTAAATCACTAGACTGACTCATGGAACTCAGGAAAGCACTATACTTAGGATTATAGTTTTATTATACCAACAAGGATACATACAAGTTAGGACTAGCCAAAAGAAGAGATGTATAGGACAGGGCTGGGGATTTAGCTCAGTGGTTCCGGCGCCTGCCTCACAAGCACAAGATCCTGAGTTCGATCCCCAGTACCAAAAAAAAAAAAGATGTATAGGACGGAGTCTGGGAAGTTCCCAAAAACACAACTTCTGGTGTTTTCTCCCCGTGGTGTCCAGACCCGTCACCCTCTTTGTGTATCAATACATAACAATATGCACAGAACATTACTAACCAGGAAAACTTGCCCACGCTGACCAAAGTTTTGCTTGGGGCTTAATTACATAGGGATGAAT